TGGACGGGAAGACGTCCCTTCTTGTGGACGGGAAGACGTCCCTTCTTGTGGACGGGAAGACGTCCCTTCTTGTGGACGGGAAGACGTCCCTTCTTGTGGACGGGAAGGCGTCCCTTCTTCTGGACTGACTGTGGAAGATGCCTCTACTTTTGTATTGTCACATGATAGCTTTTCTTTTATTTTTTTCCATAGAAAACAAAGAAATTTGATTACAAATGGAAGTATATAAACAATGATAATTGCGAACAAGAGCGAAATCCAAAAGACAAAAAAAGGAGCGGTTGTCTTTTCCCATACGTTAACACCGAGACCCTGCACAAATGGAATAGAAGCGCTAAACACCTTGGCTGTTCCTTTAACGAGGCTTGCTGGCCATGAAGCTATGTTAATTGGAGATTCCTCAATTATTACACCAAGCCACTGATACCCGGATACAAATGAATGGGTGCACTTCACTGGATCTGGTAACGCTGTCGTCCGACTACTATCACAACCACAATCACAATCACAATTACAATTACAATTACAATCGCAAGCTTCACAGCTACATGATAAACCTTTGAAACCACCAATCGAATAAACGATAAGTACAGAAAATATAAGCGACAAAATCGAGCATAAAAACCACCAAATCCCTTCGCTACTCGAATCATAAGGTTCACATTGACTGCCGAACCAGGATTCTGCAAACCCGTCTTTGCACTTTCCACATAAGATTCCTGTTCTGTTTCCACAGCAATTATTATATTCTTTAGGGTTTGGCAAATCTTTTCCTTTTGGCATTGGGCAGCATCTATCTTCAAGGCAATGAAAACAACTGACTTCATCATTTGTTGAGGTATTGCTGCACCACCAGTTTTTTGTGGCAACGAGATTTTCATCTTCTCCACAGTCCGCGCCATGCAGAGGACACTTGTAGCATATTCGATGAAGCCCAGATTCACTGTTTGACCAGGACCCACGTGATGGGCTGTATAACCCATAACCACACGATTTACAACTCCAGATTAACACAGTTGTAAAATAACTTTCTCTGCTTTCTGGTAACAGCGTGGCAAATGATGAGTTGTGGAGTTCAACTGAGGTGCCAGTAGGGCAGATGATCTTCATGCGCCCTTCCACTTCAAAAGAACGGAGTCCAGCAATTTTCACCAGGGACTGAATATTGCCTCTCGTGTCAGAATCAATGGTACTATTTATCATGGTGACTTTGCCGTTGTTTGTATAACAAAGCATGTTTTTCCCGTCACTAGCTTGGTCAGGATGGTAAGGTGTTGTTTGGTGCAATATCGTATTCTGAAAAATTGTTTCAACCTTACTACCCCCCACGAAAATATGCCCCCCCTCATCTGAAGCAAAGTTATTGCGGAAATTGCAATCAATGAAACTTAAATTGCCTTTAAAAGAACTGTCAGGTGCAATGCAAGCTGCCCCCCCTTTGTTTGTAGCCCTATTGTTAAAGAAATTACAGTTCACAAACCTAGCAACTACCTCGTGGTCTTCTGACGTATCATAGAAGCAGCTATATATTCCTTGTCTCACTTTGCATGTCCACGATTCCAGTAACACACCTGCTCCAAATGCCGCCTCTAGGCCCTTGAACGTAGAATTGATGACTTCCAGAGTGTTGTTTTGCTGTTCAAAACGGAATAAAATCGCTGAAGTCTTACCGTTTATTGAAGTGAGGTTCTTGACTTTGGCAGTGCTGTCTCCATCAAATTCAATGTGTACACAACCGTATTTTACTGCAACTGGCTTTCCGACCACCCTTAGCTTTATGCTCTTCAAATTTCAAATCACTAAGTACCACAGAGCCTGGTCCATTTTCTATATCGATATATATGCATGACCCTGGCCCTGAACCAATGTCTACACCCTGATTGCTTAGAAACGTAGATCTTGATATTTCCACCTCAGAATTGAGTGAGTTATTGGATTGAACGTGAATGCCAGACCATTCCCAATCATTGTTTTTTGATAGTGAATCTAAAATGCTTACTCTGGTTGTCATATTTGTGACTTCACTGAAAACATAAACTCCTCTAAATGCGACGTTGCTGTCCATCGTTAAATTGGTGAAACAAACTTTTAGGTCACTGTATTGTTTAATGCCCGACAAATTGATTTCTAAAAGGCTCGTGTTTTCTGCATTATTCTTTTTGAAAGTTGTGTCTTTTATAATGAAAGCATCCCCTCTAGAAATCCCAGGCGATCCGCCAAAGTCAAAGCTCAACATCTTCCCTTCGTTGTATTTAAAAGTTGATTCCAGAAGTGTCGCATAAGGAGTTACGTTGAGCAAATCGTAAGTTCCTCTTATAGCATAGTGTGCAGACTTGGTTACAACTACTTCTTGTAAGACGATCCTGGCATCGTTTATGACAATAGGAGAGTTCGTCAGAGTAATCTTTGTAAAGTTGACTGTAGTTGGATCAGAAGACTTGATGTTTATCATTGGACAAGAGATGTTCGCACGGCTTGTATTGCTTGATGTTATGTTGACATTTATGGAGATTTCTAACGGCTGTGATTTGCAGTCATAAGGGTGCAGAGAGGTCCCTGTTCCATCCAGCTCAATAACATCGTGATTTTCAGCAACTTGCAGAGCCCCAGGGAGGGTGGCACAGGCGTTTTTCCAGGTTGTCCCACATGTAGGGGAGTCTCGTCCAGACAATGATGCAGTCTTGATGTATCGTGCTTGTATGGACTTGTGACCTGATTTCACATAAACAAATAAAAAAACTCATTTATTTATCTACATCCATTGTCGGCGAGCAGCCCTAAAAAAACAACAATATAATGATATATGAAGACATAATTTCAAACAAAATGAATCACGAGGTCTCAGTGACGTAATCAAAATTCCGAAAGTTCTTCTCATGGAATGTGTGGACAGCAAAAATGCCAATCCTGCAATAGAGTGCAAGTCACATAAGCATGAAACAATTCTTAATATGTATTGCTAAATAAGATTTAGTTATCAACTAACTAAGAATTCAACAAAGCATAAACACAATGCCAATTATTTAAATTCCTTTGTAGCATTGTTCTCAATTCTTAGTTAGTTGATAACTAAATCTTATTTAGCACTACATAGTTAAGAATTGTTTCATGCTTATGTGACTTGCACTCTATTATGCTTGCTTACTCAGCCGAAGATATACAATATCCTGTCAGTGCGAGGCCACCAAAAGCATGCAAAAAATATCGATTGCATGTATGGTAAGTAATGCACCGAGTAAGAACTAGGGAAGCAAACGGCAAAGGAATGCAAGAAGGTGCTAATTGTGCATTGTATAATCCATCCATCCCATTGGTTAAAACATGAAAATCTGCCATAATTTCACAAGTTAGTGCATTTTCTAATATTTTATTTAATGTCTGTTTTTGCTTTCATGAAAGCTTTTTTTAGCTTCAATATTATGGTAATTCCATGTGGGAAACTTAGCAAATTAGAAGCATCTTTTGGCTATTGTTTTGATTGCTTATGATTGGATAAGAGCTTTTAATACAAAAGAAACTCTGTTTCAATATAGAGTTTATCCATATTTTATTTCAAAACTATGTTACCCATAGGTTGATATATAATCAGTGTGAAAACCAAGACATTCATACGTGGGGAAGTTGCAATGCCGCAGAACAATAGAGAGTTGCCTAGTTCTTAAGCTCATTGTTACTTAAACTTCTCCGAAATATCTCTCTTTGAATACACTCCACTCTTATTTCAATATGCCGCTTTGACCTCGATAGAGTGCAATATTTGAGCAACAAATGATGGATTCCCGTATGTTTATCAATGATATCAAGCACGCGGGGGCCGGTCACGTACTCCTCTCCTCTCTCTGGAAATGTTTCGTTACGCGTGACAGAAACTTAACATGGCTGCGAGGCGACTGAGATCATCTCGTGGTTTTGACATTGCACTGTTCTCGAATATTGAGCTACAATTTGTTTTCTCTTTTTTTTTTTGAAATATCAAAGAAAATAATTAGGGATTAAGAATAGTTTATTTTATAAGCTAGTTCCTACAAGACGCTTGTTTTTATTCTCAATATAAACTAAAGGAATGCTGAGGTGTGACTAGAGAAGGTTTTGTAAAAAAATCTATTTTAATTTGTAAAGATAATTTGAGTCCATGTCATTGACGGAGCTGCATGTTCGCATCCGCATGAAATGTTAGTGTCCTCAAGGGAATATCATGTATAGTTTCTTTGATCAAGAGATGCTATATCATATAAACTCTAAATATTCCCAAATACTGCACAATACTTAGCGAGTKCTCAGATTTTTTATCCCTTTAAGATTAAAACATAAYCATACATCATTAATTAATCATTATTAATCCTAAATTGGCACCTGTCCAATTATTTTCTTAAACGCCCAGTTAGGAATAATATGTGAATATATAATAATAGGTAGTCTAGGACTCCATAATTCGACAAGGAAAATTGCCATGTCTGCCGTATTTTATTACTCGGCATACTACCTCGTAATTTCCTCATCCAATTATTTATTACACGCATTTGGGCATCATAGAGGCCTAAAGATATCACTAATTACATTACAAAAGAAAATGTCCAAAGTATTCACTAAACYGCGTTTGTAATCGAATCGTGCAAATCACCTCTAAATAAAGATATTTAAGAATTTTGAGACACGCATCTTATGATATTCTCACAATTTGGACTTAAGAATAAGAAATTGAAGAATTACATTCAAACATTTAATAAACAAAGTGCTATACATTTCTGCAAAGACAAGCTGAACACACGAGAATGAAAAGCAGCAATGAAGACGATATGCATTGAATAGCACGTGAATGACATGTGATTTCTAAGAATCCGCAGCTCCGTCCGGCTCACTTGAAACTGCTGGCCAGTAGTTTGCCATTACCAGCTATTTATTACGTGCTATACTCATGAAGAATGCCGGGTGTATACTATCATTAGAAAGCGCTTCAAAGCCCAGCGTTTTGGGTTCGTTTTTGAATAGTTTAGTATCATTGAAGGCCGGAAGTAAGATTTACAATCAATGAAAAGTATAGAATAGTTTGCTACAAACTCACCYGGAAGTACAATAATCACCAGAACGAAAACCAAAACATTTCTACAAACTACTTTGTAAGCCATATTGCGTTAATACATCGCAGAGTAAAAGCTTTGTGTCTTATAGAGTGGATGACGCCCCTATTTCRCCACGCCGACACTGTTCAGTGTTTGAATGACCCTGAGCTTTAGTCTGGAAATGTGAGATACGAGTAAACAGTACAATCTAAAATGATATGACAGCTAAAATGTCCAAAGGTAAGGCCACCCATATTTGTGGTGACCCTCCTTCGAGAAATTTATTTTTGCGATGTCGCGCTTTCCGGTTTTGCATAGTAATTGTCCAATTAGATTATACAACAAAAATAGACTTCAAATGTTTTCCTGGGAATGATTAGGAAGAAGGAAGCGGGCAAGAAAAATAATGCATTGACTATACCTCACCCGGTTCTGGGCCAGAATACGTCAGAATCATGCAGCGATAATCAATAAAATAGCCCCTGATTCTAACACATTTTGTAAGGGTATTTACTTCGTTTACAGGTCACGTCACAGCTGCCATCTTGGAGGAACTTCAACATGGATTTCTCATTAGTATCTATTGTTCATTCCTCCAACATGGTCGCCGGTCTTTTATCTTTTGAATCTCATGGGAATGGTTGAAAATGAWCAATCTGATAGAGGGTCTCGATGGGGTTCACCATCGACCGTTAAATCGCTAGTTTTTAACCGTCAAACCGTGAGGTCGTCGAGTGCCTACATTGTCTTTTTAGCCCTCTAAACAAACTCGAAAAAGAACTCGCTCGACAAGATGYCGTGCCTCCATAKCTATCTCCATCTCTTCTTCGTATGAAAGTCTTCTTTGCGCATTGTCTAGTGTTACAYCTTGATTCACTGTCTTTTCCTCTGAATTGCCTTCTTTKCTMCCAACGGAAGTTTGGCACGAGTGYTGCGTGACATTATCACCCGTTCGTGACGTCTTTTTAAATTGCGTTACAATATTGTTTGCTCCTGTTGCATTGAAAGGTTCTTTGGACGATGAAATTCTCATATTTTTCTTGATATTATGTGTTTCACCAGATTGCGTGACATCATTACGTGACGTTAATTTGTCTCGTGTTCTATTATGATCAGAATGATCTAGTTTGGAATCTTGCGTTACTTTACTCTGCGTGACACTCTTGCATGCCCGTGACAGCACATGATCTTCTAATAATTCTTTATGATTGGCATTTTTCCTTTTTTGGTGCTCATTAGGATCATTCAAACTAGCGTGACTTGCTTTGATTTGTTGCGTTACATCTTGTTGTGTGACATTGCCGTGGCTACTATGATGCTTTACATCCTCTTTTTGATCGGTCGATTTATTAATAGCCAGTACTTGTTCGTCGATTGGGTTGACCCTGTTTCTCCATCTCGAGATCCTCTTGTTTCTTTTCCGTCTTTATGTTTAAAGAAAAGAAAATTGTGAGTATTAAAACCAACATTGCAATGAAATAAACATGAATTGACAAATTGATGATTAAAGAATACCAACCAACCACAATACAGCGCGCGATTGATAGTACCTGTGAGGTACTTAGTTAAAAGTGTATCTGAAAATATGGAAGACGATTAACGCTCACTTTACGAAATCCTTAGCCTGATTTTCAGACGGGGCCTGGGTCCTACGCTTCACTCCACCCCCACTTGAAGCTCCCCGTCTGAAAATCAGGCTACGAAATCCTACGAATCCGCCATTTTCGTATCCACCTAAAATAGTGCTTCGGCTCGCAAGGTACGGTGGTTGGTTGTGATTCTTTAACGATATTTTGCCATAATTTCAATTCCAAATTCTCCTGCCCTAAACTAATCACTGACACTCACTGCTGTTGATGATGATGGTGTTGATTATCTCAGGCTGATGATAATGATGATAATGAAGATGTTAATATATGACAATAATGATAACAATAATGATGCCATAACAATAATGATGATAACAATGATGATGATGGAACATAAGAAAAATATCAAATATACTTACAGAAAATCCCAAGATGCAGTTGTCCCATCATTATATTCCTATCAATAACACAGATTTCAGCGCAAACGTTACAGGTAAACTACATTGAAAAATATCAAAAATACTTCATACTAAATACCTGTGAATTAAAAATCTTTGGTTTCTCTTKCTCTCTTTCAATCCCATTCTCTCTTTTAATTCTTTCATCTTTCATTTTTTCTTTGTTTTTCAGAGCTTTCTTGATTTCTCCAAGTGGTATCTCTGATTTTCGTTTTTGTAGCTGTTTATTTTTCGTGCGTTCTGCCAAAGCCTTCAAAAAAACAATAACAAGGCTCTCAATGAGGTGGGTGGGGTAGGGTTTGGATCAGGGGGGTGGGGAAGGGATAAATGGTTATGTGGATGCATGGATGCACAAATGAACATTTATGGAAGTTTAAAATGCTTTAAGATATTACCAAATCGTGATAAGATATCAATAAGATATTATATTATTATTACTTTAAAATATTATAGTTTTTACCATTAAAATCAAGTCATCGCCTTCTTTCTCCTTATGGTCCTCGTTCATGACTTCATCACTATCTTGACGTGAATTCTAGAAAACAAACGAAAGAATTAATTCTCTGGTTTGGCATAAATTGCTGATATGAAAAAATCATTTCATTTTGCACTTTACAATTTTTAATTTTACCTGGGATAAGATTATTTCCTTATTTGGTCTTGTGATKTCACTTAGTGTCCAGGCACGTGTCATTGGTGGACGTGGAAGACTAGGC